TACTTTCTGTTTTATGAATGTGCTATTCTCAATACCTCACCCACTGGACTCATACCAGTATTTGTCTGTTTGTGACTGGCTTATTTCACTTAGCGTAATGTCCTTGAGTTGCATCCGTCTTGTAGCATGTGCCAAGGTTTCTTTTTGAAGTCTGAATAATGCTCCATTGTCTGTATATGCCCCGTTTTGTTTATCCGTCATCCAGTGATGGACACCTGGGTTGCTTCCACTTCCTGGATAGTGTAACTAATGCTGCTGTGAACATGACTGTAGGAATATCTCTGTGAGACCTTGCTCTCGATTCTTTTGTGTATACACCAAGAAGTGGAATTGCTGAATCATATGGCAATTCAATTTTTAATTTTTTGAGGAACCAACATACAGTTTTGCAGAGAGAATGCACCATTAGACATTCCTGCCAACAGTGCACAGGGGCTCAAATATCTCCTAGACTAGTACCTATTATTTTCTGGGGTATTTTTTGTTTTTTTATAGTAGCTATCCTTAATGGGTGTGAAAGAATATTAGATTGTGGTTTTGGTTTGCATTTCCCCAATAATTGGTGATGTTGAACATCTTTTCATAGGCTTACTGGCTCTTTATATATCATCTTTAAGTCAGGATCTTTGATTTTTTTGTTACTGCAGAAATTCTCTCATATTCTGGATATTAACTGCTTATCAGCTGTATGATTTGCAGATATTTTCTTCCATTTCATAGGTTGCGTTTTTCATTCTCTTGATTATGCCTTTTGATGCATAGAATTAGCCAACTTTTTGAGTCCTCTAATTCTCTGTAGGTTTTTAAATTTTCTGTGAAAAACAAACACTGACATATTTCTTTTCTTTGGGATTTCAGAGCTTTGATACAAAGCATGCTTGAAAAATGTGATCGGTTTCTCTGGTCTCAGCAGGCCTAGTGGAAGAAGATTCAGCTGGATGTCATGACATTTTGAGAAAAACTGAACAATGCTCCCGAAACTTCTGAATGCCTTTGCTATTGAAGGAAAGCCACCACGCCACACCAAAAATCTCTTGCCTTTTGCGGGTTAACCTAGGCATGTGTGGCTGTATGTGACCTCAGCATTTCTCAGCCAAAGTTGGATTTTGGAGTCAGTTTTTGTTTGTCAGAATCAGAATGTGAATGTTCACAGCTGTGTAGTCTTACTCTGACCTTCCTTACTATTTCCTTGTCACCAGTGAACTTGGGGGAACTCTTTTCTTACTGTGGCTCTGGTGTTGGGAGCAGGAGCTTCTCATCCTGGTCACATGAAGACAGTGTTATCGATTTTGGACTGGAGTTGGATTTTGTTTTTTTATCTTATCTGTGGCACTCTAGAAATTACTGAAATAGTGGACCTGTATAATGACATTAACACATAAAATAAGTAGAATACTGAAGATTCAAATTTGATATTTTTTAAAATGGCCCATACCTAACTTAAGCTAATTTAAAATATTTTTCCAGTATTTATTTGATATTTTCTATTTTTTTTTTTTTTTTTTTTTTT